ATCTGCCGGGAACCGCCCGAGTCCCAATGTAAACACGCAGCAACAACACAAGAATAATCAACTCAATTCAATTTCATATCAAAATAGACAGGTAATTCTAACCTAGCATGCTGCGCAGAGTTCAGATAAGGCAGTTTAAGCAAGTAGACAATTTAGTCATTTAGGCATGTTTTTCTAAGCTAACAGTAAGCTCAAAGTTCAAGTAGTGTAAACAGTGAAGTAAAATACGAAATATAGATACTTAAATGGAAAACAGGATTTTCAATAATCAGCACAAGTACGCGCTCGTCACCTCACGTACAGGGCATTTCAGATATCACAGTACCAAATCCTAAGGGGAGTTTCCCCCACACAAGGTTAGACAAGCCACTTACCTCGAACCAACTCAATCAATTCTATACCACGTTCTTGCCACGAGTATTCGACTCCAAACGGACCAAATCTATTCAAAGTAATTGCATAATGTAAATAACACTTCAAGTAACTAATTCAACTAATTAATTCTAAGCTAATACGCAAAATTAGGAAAAATGACCAAAACGCCCCCAGACCCACGTCTCGAAATCGGGTAAAATTTACATCAATGGGATCCTTATCCTCCCACGAGTTCATGCATATCAAATTTACCGAAATCCAACCACAAATGACCCCTCAAACCCCTAATTTTTGGTATCCAATTACAAGCCCTAGTTCTTCAATTTCAACCACCAATTTTCCATCAATTACAAGCCTAATCCGTGAAATAACAATATAGGAATTAAGTTTTATGTTCAAAAATCTTACCTCAACGAAGTTCCCTTGAATTCTCTTTTCAAAATCTCCCAAAAAGCTCTGAAGTCGTTTTAAAAATGGTGAAATAACCCAAGATTCGCGAAGGAAGCCTTTTATATTTTCTGACCTAGGCTTTTCGCACCTGCGGTCCCCACAACGCACCTGTGATACCGTATCTGCGGCCCAAGCACCGCATCTGCGGTTTTCACTTAAAACTAAAATTCCGCACTTGCGCCTCACCTTCCCCGGTGCGACCAATCATCCGCACTTGTGCTTCAGCCCTTCACGCCAATTTCCGCATCTGCGGCTAGCCTTCCGCTTCTGTGGGCCCGCACCTGTGGTCCCTTAGCCGCAGGTGCGGTTATGACAGCAACAGAACTTCTTCAGCCGCCAAACCCAACTCAAAATCACCCGTTAACCACCCGAAATCACCCTGAGGACCCCGGGACCTCAACCAAACGAACGAGCAAGTCATATACCACCTTTCAAACTTGTACCAATCCTCAAAACACCTAAAACAACATCGAAACATCGAATGAACCATGGATTCAAGCCTAAGAACTCTAAAATTTTCCGAATTCCGCTTTTGATCAAAAAGTCTATCAAACCTTGCCCGATTCACCTGAAATTTTGCACACACGTCCCAAATGACATAACGGACCTATTCCAACTTTCGGAAGTCCATTCTAACCCCGATATCAAAATCTCAATATCGAACCGGAAACTCTAAAAATTCAACTTTCGGCATTTCAAGCATAATTAAGCTACGGACCCCCAAAACACAATCTGAACATGCTCCTAAACCCGAATCACCCAACGGAGCTAACCAACCGACGGAATTCCGTTCCGAGGCCATCTTCACACTACTCCATCTACAGTCCAAATTCTAAAGCTTAAACTCTCATTTAGGGACTAAGTGTCCCTACACTCTCCGGAACTCCAAATAAATCCTCCCGACAACTCATAATAGCATAAACAAATACGGGGATAGTAATTAATAGGGGATCGGGGCGTAAATTCTTCAAATGACCGGCCGGGTCATTACACACTACTATAGTGATAAGGACATCCAAGAATGCAGAGCCTGGCAAGGAGGTGTTTATGGGAATTTATATCTGTCTTGAAGCATTAAAAACTTGATGGTTAGAAGGGTGCAGAAACATAATTGTCTTTGATGGTGCATTCCTAAAAGGAATATGTAAAGTGAACTGCTTTCCTGCATTTCCAAGGATGGAAATAATCAAATGTACCATGTGGCTTGGGCAGTAGTTGAAAAGGTCTAAGGATACATGGTCTTGGTTTATCAGATGTCTCAAGCATGATCTGAAACTGTCAGAAACTGAAGGAGAAGAGCTGACAATCATGTCTGATATGTAGAAGGTATGGTTTCTAATTCTTTGTCTTTAAAGTATAATTATTTTCATTTATGTTTAAGTTATAACCCTATAATGTTGTTGATTGTAGAGTCTTCATCTAGCAATAACTAAGTTATCTCCAAACGCTGAGATGAGGTGGCGTGCTAGACATATTTGGGTTAATTGGAGCAAACTTGGCCTGGTGAGGAAAGAAGGAAAAAATGGCAGTGTGCAAGAGCTACATTTGAAGTTTACTTTAGCAAGAAGTTGGATGAAATGGACTTGCTGTGGGGAGATATTATTTAAGACTCATTGAAATACAACAAGGAGACATGGTATAGGGTATACTTTAAAAAGCATAGTAAGTGTGATGTAGTGGAGAACAACATGTGTGAGACATTCAATAGTTGGATTTTGGTAGCTAGGCAGAAATTTATCATTACTATGTTAGAGGAAATTAGAATTAAGTGTTTGGAGAGGATGAATAGCACAAGAGAGTTTTCTGAAAAATAGGTAGGTGATATATCACACATGACTATGGAAATACTTGGAGAGAATACCAAAGGGCAGCCAAATTTGAAGTAAAATTTAATAGTGAAATAGGGTATGAGATCCAGGATGGGTCGTATAAACATGTTGTTGACTTTAAGAGGTGTTTCTGTACTTGTAGGTCATGGAAACTCAAAGGAATTCCATGTGCACATACAATTACTGTAATGCATTATAAGAACTATGAGATTGAGCCATATTGTTGACCATTGGTATAGGAAAGACACCTACTTTAAGGCATACAACAGATTCATTCAGCCTTTAACTAGTATGAATTTGGGCCAAAAAGCATACTGCCAGCTATTGAGCTATATGTTATAACTGCAATGCCAGGAAGGCCAAAGAAAAAAAGGAGAAAAGTTGTTGATGAACCAAAGAAGAAGTTTGGGAAGGGTACAAGGATAAGGATACAAATGAGATGTTTTTTGTGCAAAACTCTTGGACATAACAAGAAAATGATGTCCAACTGTTGTAAGTATTAATGTGAATATTCTTATGTGCTCATTATCAAATAAATTCCATTACTAATGTTTGTTTTTATGTGTATGCAGAGAACCTAGGGTGGAAGGGATAGAACTAGTTCGTAGGAGGTGAAATTGCTGAAAATGCATCATCAACAGGTGGAAGGGTTGAAACTGCTTCAGCAGCGGGTGGAAGGGCTGGAACTAGTGAGAATACATCAGCAGCAGCTTCAATTGTGGAAAATGGCACCTTCACTCAACCAAACACTTATTCAAGCACAAAACAATCAACTAATATACTGGAGGTCCAAAGAGGAAACCCAATGAGCCTAGAAGAGGTGGTGCAAATGCATGGTTTAAGAGACCAAAGGCAGCAGGATACGGTCTGCTATTTGGTGCAAGTGGCACTGTGATACATAGGGTAAATATTTTCACTTAATCACTGACAAAGTGGCACACAATCCTTCTGCACTCATCAGTTTTTCCCCTGCCAACATTGAACTTAGGTTCAAACCCCATGGACTAAAGTGGAAGGGTCAAGCTGCAGTTACGCAAAGGCAGCTGCAAGAACAAAGTTACAGAAGGGCAAACTCTGATACAACCACAAGCCACACCAAAGACACAATCCACACCAAGCAACCAAGCCACAACATGCATTAATTGAAGTGATCAGCTGATATTTTGAAAACTTAATGATGGATTTTTTTGTTAACTGCCTATGGTAGACAATATTTTATAAAGCTACTTCATTATGGATTGTTTTTTGTTAACTGCTTGTCTGCCTATAACAGACAATGATATTAGTTGTGGAAGTACTGTTGTTGTAATGTTGAATTACAATATTTCAACTTGAATGTTTCGTTTGTCAATATATTCCATGAACAAAATGTTACATCAACACAAAATATGTAGCCTAAACCCAAGAAATAATAGAGTAAGCTATCAATCCTAAGCACATAATATAAGAGCTAACATAAGAACAACTACAACCGCAATTATAATAGCAGTAACACTGAACTTAGACCTTTTTTGTCTTCTCTGACAATGGCATCGATCACTCTTTTTAATAAGACTCGCAAGAAGAGTCTTGTAGTGTTCTTCCTCAATCGCAGGATCAACCCATCGAAAAAAGCCACAACTTTCACCAATCTCATATCTTCGGCAGCCTAGGAACCTTCTTCCAGGACTGGTGGGTGTTCGTGACATTTTAAGATCTGCAGCAACTCCACAATAACACAAAGGTTCCTTCTTCATTGCTGAAGGAGAAGACACAACAATAGCTATTATTTCTTGCCGGAGAAGAAGAAAAAGATAGACCTTGAAAAGAATAGGAGATGGCAGAAATAGATGGGCAATGAATAATCCTAGCAAAGAAATTCAATTTTTGACTGTTGATAACACGAGAAAGAAGAAGGCATAAGATTTGGATAAAAATGAGCTTCTATCATGTTCAACAATGGAGAATGAGGTAGAAAGAAGAAGATGGCCGTTAAAATAGGCCACAATATTACCGTTAGGGTTTTTTCAACTGCCCTCACGCCCCTTACAGGCGTGTGAATCACGCACTAAAGCCAAATATGACACATAGGATCAGCCTCCTGTCATAAGCTTTATTATTCCGATTCGAACAAGTGTAAGTGTTCACTTGGCAAATTGATAAGTTCGGGCTCGACATGACAAAGTGACACAAGTATAGGTGCCATTTAGGCTATTCTGCCATTAAAGAATGAAAATGAAGTAAAATAAGAGAGGAAAAATGTTCATAGTTTAAAATTCGAGGGGGGAGTATAATGTTTTACATTAAGATGGAGGACTAATTTTGAAAACAAAAAACGCAAAGCAGACCCACAATTTAGGCCCCTCCAAGGGAGAAACAACCTTTGTCCTCTGTTGGCTCGAAGTTGTCATCAAAGCTTCGATGAAACCCTAATTTATAGCACCCACCCTATAAACGAAGAGAATTCACATCCGATTTCTGTAAAAGTCCTTCAATTGATTCCATTTATCCCTGATATTTTGCAGTTATTTTTCCAGCCATGGACGCTCAGAGAGCTTTGTTGGATGAACTAATGGGCTCAGGTATGCTTTATTCAACTAGTTGTTCCTATTTTATGCTTAATATTTTTTGATTTGCTATAAGAATTATAGCTTTTGCTATGTTTATACAGACGAGTACCAATTTTGATATTTTGTCGTTTTTGATTTTGTAGCTCGGAATTTAACTGAAGACGAGAGGAGAGGGTTCAAGGAAGTTAAATGGGACGACAGGGAAGTTTGTGCATTCTATATGGTTCGATTTTGCCCCCACGATCTCTTCGTGAATACTAAGAGCGATTTAGGTCAGTTCCAAAATCTTACTCTCCTCGATTTGATTGATGAATACTAGTAACTGTTTTTGGATTTTTGCCAAAAAAATTGTTTCTTTTAATCATGAATATGATATCTGGGATAACTTTACTATCTGCGTTTTAGCTAGTTAATGGCGTCTTGAAACTACTCCTGATTGTTTTTGACTTGTTGTTTTATATAGGAGCATGCACGAAAATTCACGACGCAAAGTTGAAGGAAAGGTAAGATTGAATCTTTCTTTGGTTCTCTGGGACTGACAATGTTTTTTTTTTTGGGCTGAAACTCTCAGATATATTTCACGCCTTCATGCAGAAAATAAGTTAGCTTTCCTTGGCACTTCCTTCAGCAACCAAATTAAAAAAGAACTGATATACTGTTATCTGCCAACGCAACTTGTGAGGTTTCTACCTCTAGTATTTCTATGCCAAGCACATGATGAATAGTTATTCGTAATAATCTTAACATAATAATTTGGGTCAAACAAGTTCATCAAGACACTAGGAATGACAAAAAGGTTGCTCCTTCTACCCCAATCTATATGGTTACTATTATTTTTTGAAGAGTCAAATGGTCTTGGTTGATGATAGTGAAACCCTGCTAGAATTCATAGTCTCTTTTGTATAGACACACTGTGTTTTTTTTTTTCGTTATTTTCTGGGATGTAACCACAGCACTCTCTTAGCGTTTTTTTTTTGTTTTTTTATATTTATAATACCTTACCATTTCAAAAATAAAAATAAAATGGTCTTGGTTAACTACATCCTCTTTTCAAACATTTCAGATATCTTTTATCATAAAAGTTTGTGATTTTGATTACTTCTTATGTAGTTTCCAACTTTCCATATTTCAAAAAGAATTAGAGTGATTTCTGAATTCACAAATAAAATAAAGATTGTTCTACTCTAGTACCCCAAAACTTGTCATTGTTTTTAGGACGAAAAGAGTAGATCTCTTAAACCTGGTGTCTTAACATGATGGCGGAAGAAAGAGAAGTTGAAAGCTCGAATTTCAATTGGTGGGTACTCCTAGCACCCTCGAACTTTTTGAAGATGAATTGGTTTCCAAATGTGTGATCAAACTTCTTGTGAATATGATGGTATATACTTTCTTGATTCAAAAGTTTTGAATTAGCATTTCAAGAACCACAGTTGTTCAGTTATGTTGGAGTTATGGTAGTTGCATGACAGTAGCCATACTTGAGCTGGAAAGGGTGAAAAGGAGTCCTTTAAACTAGTTTCATTGATTAGTAACCGAGAGCAGCAGTTGGAATTCTGTACATGTGTTGAAAAGCTTCCCCATAAAGCTTAAACACTTCCATGCTCATAAGTCAGTACACCTGAAAAGGTGTTTCAAATCTGTCAAATCACGCAGAATGGTACCATGAAAAAGGTCAAAAAATGAATGTAAAACTGTGATAGGTTTATAGGAATTCTGTATGACTATTAAGGAACAGCATCCTTTTGGTTCCAATGTCTTTTCCTTTAAAAGGTAAATTTTGTTTAGGTTCTAATGTAGTGTCAAGCTCAATGACTTTCATATTTGTTGCTCTGAATCAAGGCCAATCAGCGAATCCAATATTTTAGTTTATATTACAGCTTTGGTTCCAATGTCTTTTTCTTTAAAAGGTAATTTTGTTTAGGTTCTAATGTAGTGTCAAGTTCAATGACTTCCATATTTGTTGCTCTGTATCAAGGCCAATCAGCGAATCCAATATTTTAGTTTATACTACAGCTGTGGTATTGATACATGTGCACGTTGACTGTGGAATTATAGTGAAGTATGACCTTGACTTTTTTCTTTGATAGAAGTCAAGTTGGTAGATTTTGATCGCTCTCCTTTATGAGGAAGTATCAGCCTATACCTACTATGGTTAGGTTGTACTTCATAACAATTTCATCTCTTAAATCATTTACTGGTGTATTAGTCATTTCTGTTCGAATGAAGACCTTCTAGTGCTGAAGCTTGACTGGTTTTACCTGCCTCTCCAGAAGTCGCTTATCTCACAGTTTTGTGCATGCAAGAAGATTGTGAATTAAGCGTTCTTATTTATGCACTACTATTTCATTGTTCTAAAAGTTCTTGTTTTCTTCTTCAGTTTTGAGAACTCTCCAAGACACGATTCTTATGTTCCCAAGTTTGAAGCAGAACTAGCCCATTACTGTGAGAAGTTGGTAGGTTATTGACTGATGAGTTTCCGAGTTCTTTTCAACTTATTCTCTGAATAATATCCGATATACTTAATTTGTTGTTATCATAGGTGATGGACTTGGATAGGAAAGTTAAGCGTGGTCGGGAACGCCTTGCTCAGGAGGTTGAAGCTCCCGCACCTCCTCCAATATCAGCAGAAAAATCTGAGCAATTATCTGTTTTGGAGGAGAAGATTAAAATCTTGCTAGAACAGGTGGAGTCTCTTGGTGAAGCTGGGAAAGTTGATGAAGCTGAAGCTCTCATGAGAAAGGTTTGGCTGATATTCCTCTGCTACTAATTCATTCTTGTTTTGAATTTTGCAATATCGTGATGGTAGAGTCTTATGTCAGTATCCGGACTTCTTGACATTCATGTAGGTGGAAATGCTAAACGTTGAAAAGACAGCCTTAACTCAGCAATCCCAGCATAACAGTGCACTAATGATTGCACAAGAGAAAAAGATGGCTTTGTGTGAGACATGTGGTTCCTTTCTTGTAGCAAATGATGCTGCAGAGAGGACTCAGTCTCATGTCACTGGCAAGCAACATGTTGGCTATGGGATGGTTCGAGATTTCTTGTCCGAGTACAAGGTACTTCTCACTAGATTTTCATTTTCTCTTTTCCTCACGAAACCACATAGTGCAACTTATATGTTTTCTGCCTTTTGTTGCAAAAGATATTCTATGTAATGGACTGTAATATTGCTTCCAGGATGCTAAAGAGAAGGCAAGGGAAGAGGAAAGATTAGCCAGGGAGAAAGAAGCAGAAGAAAGGAAAAAGCTGAGGGAGAAAGAATATGACAGCAGACGACGAAGAAGTGACTCATCTGACAGGGACAAGTATAAAGATCGAGACAATGACAGGGAAGGGGATCGCTACCGTGGAAGAGATCGTGATCGTGACAGGTCCATTGACAGAAATGGCAGAGGAAGCCGTGATTTCGAAAGGGCTTCAGGTTGGAAACATGGGAATTCCAGAAATGGGAGAAACAGAAGCAGGGAGAGATACCGGGAACGTGATAGAAGCAGGTCACACTCTCCTATTAGACATGGTTCCAAGAGGTCCAGGAGTCCAGTTCGCAAGTATTAGAAGATTATAAACGTAGATGTCTGAACTTTGAAATTTGAAGAGGTAGACATTTTTATAACTCACCAATCTCATGAATGTATGCTTTTGAATCGTAAGTCCCATTGTCATCATGTGTGAAACTGTTTTTGTTCTCACAGCTCTTTTGAGACTATATCATCTCCCTATCATCAATATAATTAGAGAAGGGTCGAGGTAGGTATAACTTCATTGCCGTAACTCTTTAATGATCTATTTTGGTTTAACGTATTCAGAGGATTTGATCCCTGCTCATCTGGGGTCACCAATTCTATGAAGTTAAAAAACAGATTCATTAGTTATGCATGGATACTGCTGCTAGAGGGAGATCCTTGCATGGTTATTCCTTAAATGAGGTAACAACTTTTATTAGTTGCGGATTGCCGAATGACTTGTTGACCATCGTTGGTTTGGTTCCTTTATCTTTTGGTCATTCAGATGATAAAACAGAAGTTCTTTTCATTTGGTTATTCAGATGGCTCAGAGCAATTTAGTGCTAATTGTTATTGCATATTTGGCGTCATTGAGGTCATGAATATGAAAGACTCCATGTAACTTGTCTATCAAGTATCCTCCAAGCTCAGATAGGTAACCTCTATCCTGACATACTTACCATCCCTCTACCTTCTTGTGTGGAGCTAAATTCATGCAGGCAGCATTTTGGACATAAGGCGGCTAATGAGTCTAATGCGCAATCAACAACTGATCATTGAATAGATAATATAGTTGAGAATATTAAACAAGTGCTTATTGTCCACTTGGATTAGTGCGTGCAGGCTTTGGCATCATGTATAGGTATCTATCACTTTCTTAGACTTTTCCTCTTAAAGTATACATAATAGATTCCCTTCTGCAATTTATTCATTGCAAGGGGGTGCGAATTTTCAGCTCTGCCAAAGTTCTAGATTCTGTGGGTGAAATTATGGCAAATATAGCTTATACTAGTTGGGCTAAGGCCCGTGCTCCCGGTATTATGATTGTAATGGTGGCCAGGCATTGAATAGCATTTTGCAAGCTCTCTCTTTAGGGGAGCAAAAGTTAAAAAATCCGACTTCCACTGTAATGAAGAACAGATGATATAGTATCCATAATGACTTTTCAGTATCTCCATTGGAGTCCTTCAACAAGAATTACTGAGATCTAGCATGAAGTTGAGCATCATGTTCCTCCACTCTGTAGGTATTAGTGAAATTTCTTGGAGTTCTGGCTAGAAAGCAATTTGTTGAAGGATTTCAGAGAAAAAGTTTACTTTAAAATCTTCCCATGCAAATCCTAAGGTTTATTTTATTATTTTATTCATTTTTATCTTGATTGTCAAAAAAGTTATTGACCAACAACTTTTTTATCATTAACATATAGTCATTACGGCTAGTAATTCAATTAATCACTGAGTTTGTCAAACATAATCTTGTAATGTTCTTGGAACTTTATTTACATGGTCTAAAGATAGCATTATCCTGCAGCAGACATAGAAGCCCCTAAATGCTCCAACCACATGGGCAAAAGTTCCATCATTTTAACTCACAAGGATCGAAGTATGCACATAAAGAAGGGGTGGGTGTTCGGGCAATTCAGATTGGATATGAAAATTTTGGTTTGGATTTTTGGTTTTCGGATTGAAGAAATGACAATCCAAATAAGCTCGGATTGGATTGGATTGGATTGGATTTTTTAAGTTCGATTTTCTAGATTAATCGGTTAGGTATTTTGGATTTTCGGTTTTGAGCTTATAAATGGAGATGTTTCTTCTTTTTTACAAAAATGAATATCCTAATGAAGTACTAACGTTAAATTGCATGAGAAGTTCCTCATTCTTCGCGCAATCGTCTAAACATAAGTATTTAAGTAATAAAATTATTATCAAGAAAATAAAACTGAGAAATTAATAAGACTGATAAAAAGTAGCAATAGTAAAATCATGTCCGAATAGATAGTATTATGATAGTAACTTAGTAGTTAATATCGAATATGAGATAATATCTAATGGCTAGGATATTGAATGTATTATTTAGGGGTGTTTCATGGTTCGGTTTGGATTGGTTTTTCCCTAAAAAGAAATCATACCAAGTAAGTCGGGTTTTCAAATATTAGAACCAAACCAAATCAATTAAGCCGGTTTTTCCTCGATTCGGTTTATGTCGGGTTTTGTCTGTTTTTTTGGTTTTTTCGGTTATTTGTCGGTTTTTCTTAAATATAAGACATACACTACCAAGCACGCATTCCGACGATCACATTTTCAACGTAACACTATCAAATCAATTGCCCTTTGAGAAATCTATTATTTACTAAAATATATTGATGATAATTGAATCAAATAGTGATGAATAATTTAAGGACTCAATTAAAAATATATTTTTTTTTAACATGAAATGGATTCTTACACTTAACAAAAGAAAACAACCAATCAAAGTAGAATATAAAATAAAGAACTGTACTAAAAGTGCAATCGATTAACATTCACCATAAAATTTTTGAAATTTTGTATAAAAATATACATATATATAGGTGTAATAATAAATTTGAAACAGCTACTCCTATAGTCGGTTTGGTTCGGTTTTTTTCGGTTATTTTTTGATTAAAACCAAAATCAAACCAAATTTGATCGATTTTTAAAATTCAAAATCAAACCAAAAAGTATCGATTTTTTTGGTCGGTTTGGTTTAGTTTCGGTTTGGTTCGACTTTTCGGGTTTTTATGAACACCCCTAGTATTACTATTGGCATTGGGATAATGGATCAAATATAAAGTATAAAAATTTTGAATTTTCGGTTATCCAAAAATCTGAAGTACCAAATCAAATTCCCAATTCAAAATTCAAAAATTTTAAAAATTAAATTTAAAATCCAAATAAAAAATCCAAAAAATTTGGATTTCGGGTTTGTCCAAACTATGTCCACCCCTAACAGTGAAAGCTTGTTTGACCAAAGCTTCTTGCAGGCTAAAAATATTTTTTTGGGTAAAGAAAAGTACATTTTAAAAAAATTGAGGTGTTTGGCCAAAACAGAAAAGTACTTTTGAGCAGCACTAGGGGCGACTCAAGCATATACGTGGCATAAAGTCAAAGTTTAATATGACGCCTAAATTTTTAAAAAAGAAAATTATAAGATATGTTTTTATTTGAAGTCTGTTCTTCTAACTTTTTAGATCTAAAGTTGTTAATAGTGTTTTTTATAATCGATTTTCTCTAATAATTCTTGCTCGATTGATAATATAGCCAACTTATTTAATCTTTCTTAAGATATTGTTGGTCTTAGATAAGATTTTACAAAGCAATAGAAGTATAGAACTATTGGAAGCTTAAAAATATTGTTGAACACTAACTAGTGAAATCTTGGAGAAAGAAGGTGAGTAAGAATATCAAAGAGAAAGACAAAAAAATATGTAGGGTTTTATGAAATATGAAGAGATTGGATTAAAAAAAAATTGACTTGGACAAATTAAGGAAGAGATAGCAAAATTTTAATGGAGTAAAACGTGAAAAACTGAAGATTGGAAAAACTATTCATCTACCCATTTTTAAGTCAAATTATTACTTTATTTATATATCTAAAAAGTTTTCTTTTCTTTTATATTAAAAACTCTACTTTTGTATTAAAAGTACTAAATATTACTTTTTAAATACTTATGAACTATTTTTAAAAAATGTCTCCACCCCCCCCCCCCCCCCCACCCTCCCCCCTCAAACTTGGGCCTAAGGCAGACGCCTTACTAATCATAAGGTTGGAGCCGGCTCTGAGCAGTAATAGAAGCAGCTTTTCTACTTTTGAAGAAGAAATTGCAAATTCTAGCTTCTTCCAAAAAGTAAAAGTAGAAAATTAATCTATTCAAGACAAATTTATCCTTACTACGACCATACCTTTTTATAATAGCATCCTTATATAATAGTCATTCACAATAAAAACCAAGTTTTCCTCAGAATTATTTTTCTAGGTTATATTTTATCCCTCTATAATAATTTTTTTTACCTATAACAGCAACAACTATATTTATAACAGAACACTCTTCATAAAATTACCTCTTTATAACATCCTTGTAGATTCTCTAAGATTACTAATAATAATTCTGAAAATCTACACACAATTTTTTCTATTGAATAAAGTTTTCATCTTGCATAATATATATGATCTGAAGATCTGCAGATGATATCCTTCAAGGGAAAACTATCAGATACTCTTTGCTGAAAGTTTGAACACAAATCTTGCCAATTCAAAAGTTATATCGCTAATAAGAGAATGAAATCTATGAAAGACATTACAATTATCAAGTTCTTCTATCAACCTTGAAAGAATTTATTTTTATAGTAGCTTTAAAATATGTAATTTAGAGTTTAAAGCTTTATACGTGTAATTATGAATTTATTAATAATATATTGTTTTTTTAAATATTTAATTAGTGAAATATGCATATCTTTGAGATTTTTAGTTTCAATAATTTTTATCTTTTATGTATAATAACAAAAATAGATATTGATTTTTGGATAATTTTGTCTATTTAACAGCAAAAAAATATTTAAATGTCAAATGCTGTTATAGGTATATAATTATAAGAATATAGAATACAGAAACAAACGATACTGTTATAAAAAGGTTTGACTGTATAAATTTATATTTCTCAAATTATCTCTCATTAATTTAATCTTGCCTTTTTCGTATCTACAATCCCTTTATTCTCCTTTTCATTTTCATCGTATTTTATTCCTTCGCCTATTCCTCTTTGGAATAGTATCTATTATAAATAAGTCTCTTCTTTTGTATACAAGATATCAGATATTATTGTTTTGGATAATTATATTTTACGTGATTAAACTTTAACATTTATATTTATTTTAATTAAATAATAAATTTAAAATTTATTTCTCTATATAATAATACTATTTGTAAAGCTAATTTTTATTGTCTTTTTTTCATAATTTGACACTCAAAAGTGCTTTTTGAAAATATTAGCCAATAAAATTTATTTTTCAAATATTGCAAAGAGCACTTTTCAATGAATTGACCAAATACAAAATATTACTATTCAAAAGTATTTTTTCAAAAAATATTTTTCAAATAAATAATTTTGACAGCCTTACACTGGTGAACTTACCGTGCTTCACGCGGTTATAAAGGATCACGTTAAATTTATGGAATGATCTTTCACTAATATTCAAATGTTTAACAAAATTTAAAAATTACGTCATGACGAGCAAACTTAAAACTTTCTAGTTCTTTCATTATGTATTGTTTAAAAGGATGAAGATAAGGAGAATAGTTTATGTATTTTTTTATTGGCATAAAGGATTCATAGTTTACTTTGTTGGTTGTTTCGTACAATTGCAAAGGAAGTAAAAGAATCATGATTTTCATCTTTATCTAATTTAAAAGTGATATAAAGAATTTAAGTGATATATATATATATATATATATATATAAAAGAATTTCTCTTCTATTTTTCTTGTCTTTAGCTTCCCAAAGGAAAATAATCCTTTAATTATGTATCCTCCTCCTCCTCAGCAAAAGATGATTTCAATTCATATATTTTTTTTATGGTCTTTAATAAAATATTATTTTAAGCAAATTTTGATTTTTGTTATATCTCTTAATTTAAGGTCTTGATTTAGATTAATTCTTTATTAGCACATTAATTAATAGCAATTAAAATTTGTTCGCAAAGAATAGCTTTTAAGTAAATTCTTGATATTTCACTTGTCTGTTCGAAAACAATTTATTCATACTCTCATAAAAAGTCTTTCATCCCTTCACAGTGAAGAAGTTATTTTGTTGACCAAAGGAACCAAAATGTTTTTAATAAATAAATAAAAAAAAACATTCTAAAGAAAGAAAGCCCATTGTTGTTTGGGTAAAAACTAAACAAATCAAACACATATTATTTTTAAAAATTCTTAGAAATTTCACCAACAAAATATTCTCAAAAAGCTGTCGAAGTACTAATAACAGTAATTGTGTCAAAATGGTATTTGAGAAAGTGAAACAAACATTTAGCATCTGTTAGTTTCAGATAATTCTTCATCCTTGTTCGTAGAATTTTCAAAAATCTTTTCTAACAGTAATGTATGAAACAATTTTTTTTTTTATACTCATATTAGTTTCCAAACACTGAGTATCTAGTTTTTTGCTCCTTGTTCTAATATTACTTTTGGTGCTTCATTTTCTTCTCATTTTCCTGTCTTCCTTTTCCTTTTTTTCTTTGTTTCCTTTCTTCTAGCTTTTCCTTACCCATCACTTACTCAACAAAAACTAAAAATCATTACCCTAAATATAGGAA